AGGCTTAATGATTAATTAGATGGAACATTGTGGGTGTGGTGTATGAATGTTAACACTTTGTAATAATTCTTTAGTATATTACTTGTGTGGTGTAGAAGATAATTATTTATGTAGAGATACTGCTTGCAAACCAATGATGGTAAGATGATGTCATGGGGTAGGACTGGATAAGTCTGACTTCTTCCTACTCCATTCAAGCATGTTCTAGGTATAAGCAAATTGATATTGGATTAGCATTTGTTGGATATGTGTAAAATTATGTGTGTTGACATATCAACTGTCTTTACATGCTTGAAAGAATAAATCAAATCAAATCAAATTTACATGATATGCTTTTTACACTCGTAAATGGTGCAGAAAGGCTTCTCATTGTTTCCATTGTAAAGAAAACACAACAAAAACCTGTAGAGCGACATGTTGATTTTTTTTGTCTAACCTATACATCTTTGCCTTTTTTAATTTGCTCTGTATGCCTCTGTGTAGCTGTCAGAAGATGTCCTTCAGAGGATGAGAGGAGTAGCCAACATTGCTCCAGAACCCAAATCATCATCATCCTCAAGCCCGCAGAAAGACACAGGTATCACACACCTTACAGTGGTTTCCTTACAACAGGTTTTCCTAAAACTTGGAACACCAAAAGTTGCTTACTGACCAGGTGAATGTATTTACTTATTGCCAAGGGAAGCTACAGGTACTGTGCATGTGCACACGGTGTGTGTGTCCTGAAAACAAAATAAAATGTTAAATGAGCCTGCATAGTTAACCTTGCAGACTAATAATTCTGCATGAAAGGGGGTTTATACAGATTTTACAAGGTCAGTTTAGCAGCCATGAAGTGTACTGCTCAGTTAGTGAGTACAGTTGCATAACGTCTTTCATGGTTTTTCAGGAGCTTTGTGAGGTGAGAGGAAAACAATCAAGTGTTGTCTCAGCTTGGAGACTGCAAATTTGACAGAAAACTTGCTTTACAAACTAGGAGCATGTCAACAGGGAATAAATGATGGTGTTGAGTTGCATTATCTTTACCTGATTATAACATGACATCCCCTTTTCCACCACCTGTAGTTGGATGAGGTCAGTTTGTAGATATGAAACACTTTTCAATTAGTCCAGGTAGGAGACACTTCTCACTCATTTTCACTGTGCCAGGACCACATTATATAGACATACAAACAATAATAATAATAATAATAATAATGAGCCACTAAATTGCCACAGTTCATAACAGTTTATCTTCTGTTAAGGTTTTGCCTTGATGTCCACTCTGTTTTTGCTCCAGGTCTCTCCCATAGTGCCAGCTCGAGCTCTCGACCCCAGGACAGCGGCCAATCCAGTACGCAGTCCAGCACTAGTAAACCAGCTTCCTACACTGAGGAAGAACAGAAGAGGTAGGTGAAACAAAATGTGGGTTTGGACTACATATCCTAAATAGGTGAATAACCTTCAGAATAATTGTCTGGTAAATATGCATACTCCTTTGGTAAAAGTACTGATATATATTTATACACAAAACCACCAATATTTTTCCAAAATTATCCTCTTTTGTTACTTTTTATGGCTCCCGACAATGCATCTTTTGTGCTGTAAAATCATTACAAACTACTGTGTCATGGTTTTGTTTATCTTGCTCAAAAAAAGGTTTAAATGAACTAGGCACCTTTTTTGGCACTACAACTATGCTGCATATTTTTTAAAGTCAAGAAAGTCTGTTAAGTCAAGAAAAGTAAAATCACTTTAACCAGGATAAGATATTTTAGGGCACCACTGCGTTGGGAGCGTTTTCTACTGGAGCTGTCATTCATGATTGCACTGAGAGGAAGTGCTTACAAAAAGTAAAAGCAAACCGAAAAGACACCTGTAAAGCTAAGAATTAGAACAAAATATTAAATGTGTCCTTGGGTAGTACAAGCAAAATGTCATCAAGCTACTTAATCATTCACTGCTTTGAGAGATGAGAGAAGGATGCATAGACCAGGGAACATATACACAGTTTGTCTTGTATTAAAAATGGTCAGAAAAGAGTATATAAAATGTTAATTTTTACTAAATGAAACTTGCAGTTACCTCAGCAATCTCTATACTCCACTGTAAAATTTTACCCTGACCAGATTTAAGCCTACTTGTGTGCACATGTATTTGACACTTGGCATATGCTGCCCCCTTGTGGATATAAATGCTAAAAGAATTTTGACTCCTTGTAAGACATAAGAAACCTGAAACCAATGGCAACATGCAATGAAAAGAACCATTATTTTGCATTTGTACAGTATGGTTTATGTGTTTCAGGTATGGGCGCCAGCAGACAATACTGAAGGAGGAGTTGGCCAAGATACAAAGAGAGAGGGAGGCAGCGTGGTCTAAAGCTTTGAACTGGGAACACACACGCGAGGAAGCTGAAAAGGCCAAACAACTGGTACATGCACAGACACACACACACCAGATATATACATTATTCTTTCTCAAGCTGAATGCTTCACTGTCATTTGACTTGGGTCAAATGCAACTTTATAAGATGCCATAGCTGAGTTGAGTTACAGTGCCTTGCGAAAGTATTTGGCCCCCTTGAACTTTGCGACCTTTTGCCACATTTCAGGCTTCAAACATAAAGATATAAAACTGTAATTTTTTGTGAAGAATCAACAACAAGTGGGACACAATCATGAAGTGGAACGAAATTTATTGGATATTTCAAACGTTTTTAACAAATAAAAAACTGAAAAATTGGCCGTGCAAAATTATTCAGCCCC